TATGACAAGTACAAGTAGTGTGAGACAGAGCAAAACTAAAAAAAATTTTGGCAAATAACAGATAAAGATTTCAGCAGTTACAGTTTTAGTGAGTAGGAATATCTGGCTGATAGATATAGGGTCAAGAATCAAACAGGCTCATGTACCTTTCAGAAACCAAGATGCTCGAAATAAGAATTTCAGTAAAATATTGAACTAGATTGGGTTCGAACTCTGAACATAGTTGCTAAGAGATTATAATCAGACAATTTTCTAAATTGAAGACTCTTACCTTGAAAATGACATCAAAAGCTAAATTATATTGATGTGTTAGAAAGATGGGAAAGCCTAATTTCTAATGAGAACTTGTACAATTTTTTCCCAAAGCAAAACATCTCTAAGTTAACTAATTTAGTCCTTAATTTGGACCTTCGTGATCATTTTAACTTCGTAAAAACACAATTCTGTTACTTGCTTAAAGGCAAACCATCTGAAATCTTATTATCCAATTTTTTCCTGTAATTTTGATTTATAAAACCTTTACTAAGATAGGTACAAAGGTCATCATAATTAGGGAAAAAATATGGCCAGGGGGCATAATCTCGATAAACTTGAAAGGTTCTCATCCCTTTCTGATAAACATGATGTCCTTCTGCAACTAAATTGCTAAATTTCAGAAAGTCCAGAAGTCTCGGTGGCTCAGTGAGTTAGACACTTGCTTGCTGAAGGTTCAGAGATCAATCCCGGCATAGGTTGAGATGATACCTTTGGATTTTTCAACCCAGTTTCACCCAGATGGGACTGAGGCCCTGTGTGCTACAGGCTGTGCATGTTAAAGATCCCCCGACAGTTTGAAATCGAAAAAGAGCAGGCTAATGCTGCTGTCCTGGCAAAATTTCCCTCATTGCACATTGCATGGCATTGCCAATTAGCCCACATGGTGCAGAAAAGAAGGACGTAAAACTTCATTCATTTCCTTTCATTTTCATTTTCAGAGAGTCCACAATACTGTTTATTTGGTATATTTAGTAAAACATGTAAATTTCCAAAATGTCCATAATTCTAAGAAACAACAGATTCTATAATAAAAATTCTACTTCATGAGAGAAAAATTCCAATACAACCTTTTCCTGTAGCTTTTTTTTGAGAATATAAACACTAATGGTATTTTTTCTTTTTTTGCACAGAAATATCTAGACTATCATTCTTTAAGTACCATCTCTCAAAATAATTGTAGTGCGTTAAAACGCAGGAAAATAAAATTACTCTTGTTGGATTAAGACACTACAGTAAGATGGTATCAATAAATAGCCATCAAACTCAATACAACGTCAATTAACTACCATGATTACATTATTGACCTCCAATACTGAAGATCTCTTGTGAATTAACAGAAAGTACTCTACAGCCACTTTTCCTAATCTGTGAATCTACTACCCCTAAGCCAAGGTTCTGTGTCTTAAATCTTGGCTGATTTGTTTGGTCAGACATGGATTGATCTGGTTGTATCTCATGATGTTGAGCTGGCGGGTGTAGAGTGCGAAGTAGACCATGCTTACTCTTTTCGAAACATCTGATGGTACTTCTTATTTGAATCCACTAGTATACTATTATTGCTTCTGACCTAGGAACTAGTAACCCCTTGTAACCCCTGGGGATACCAACAGTAAGGACCTCATAGATACCCAAGAAAATTTAATTTGAGTATGGACAATTTTTTGATTACATTGAAACTTACGGGAGGTCCAAAATATTGGGATCCAGAGCTCTACAAAAACCCTTTTTATTTTCCATTATCCCATACCATAACTATAATAATATTGTCAATCCAAATGCATTATTGTCAAAATGCATAGTGTCAAAAATACATAGCGTCAAAATACATAGCGTCAAAAATACATAGCGTCAAAATGCATAGCGTCAAAAATACATAGCGTCAAAATACATAGCGTCAAAAATACATAGCGTCAAAATGCATAGCGTCAAAAATACATAGCGTCAACAATACATAGCGTCAAAAATACATAGCGTCAAAAATACATAGCGTCAAAATACATAGCGTCAAAAATACATAGCGTCAAAATACATAGCGTTGAAATACATGAGGAAGTCAGTTTTCAAATTATTTATGTAGAAAATAGGCCTACAGATTGACTATGCAACACATAATAAAATATGAAGATCTATTTTGAGGCTGATTCCAGATCACATAAAAATAATCCGTCAAAATTTGACTCGCCAACCAATGAAAAAAAAATAGTAAGAGTTCATAGCAAGGACAAATAAAAAGAAAACCAACTCAAATTTATGAAATGAGATTTGAAGAATGATGAATTGGGAAAGGTACAAATATGACAAATTAAATCTGAATACATCAACTAAATGCTCGATCAATATCAATTATCACTTCCTCTTAGTAATAACATTTGTTTACAAAAACCAGGACATGAGGTCAGATGTGAATTATAGGTTAATGCGTACACCAAATAATTACGTCTTTATATAATTTTTTGTGGAAGAAGTTTAGGCTTATAATACTTTAATTAGCTATGTGGACCCTCCAAATGTCTAGCCTACTTGTGAGACCCAGTCAGAGTGTTATCAGGTGTTCTGAAAGGGTTGAACCCTAGACCTTCAGGTTAGCAAGCTAGGGTCTAACTCACTAAGTCTCTGTGGCTACACACTGAAGAGGAGACAGTGGCTCAACTTAATAAGTAGGGGCTCGTGGACTTTAGTGGGTTGAGGCTTCTCCTCATGAAATATTTAACATATGCTCTTCTGGTTTTTTTCTGGGGGGTGGGGCCAGTAGACTTAGTTCAACCAGTCCCTGTGGTAGTTAAACCACTGCAGGAGAAGTAATATATAGGTTAATACTGTTGATATTAGTCATAACTAAATATAAGTTGACTAATATAGTAATACCAAACGATCCACGGTAGTTGATCATCCATACCCTAGGGACCTTGTAACTTCGTTCATTTCATACTGATTCATTATAGATACCAAGTTAATATCAATCACTCGTGTTTTGCCTACAGTTGCCTACTTTTTAAAATGGGTTTGTGTTTTGTGACATTTTGTTCGATGGCAAGATGTTTATACAGAGTGCTGCTAAGATTGCAATACAATATTAAAATGACATTTGTTGGTATGATATATAGATACAGCTTTATGGAACAACAATCAAAATCTCGTCCAAAGCATGGCTAAATCAAAAGTAAAAATATTATAGTTGTGGACTCCTCTGGTGGACTCCTCCACAGAGAAGTACCATCAGGTGTATCTATCAGAAAATAGTCAACTAGCATTAAACCAACATGCCAAAAGATTAAAAAATTACTTAATGATTTATTGAAGTTTTCATACAAATTCTTAAAAAAAAGAATTAAGGCCAGTTTCTCTTTAAAATCAGGTTACTTTTTCTGGCTCCAACTGAACAACATTTGTGAAAAAGATCTATCAAATAATCAGACTAGTGTCTTTAAACTAACGTGTCAAAAGGTTACTTAACCTAATCATTTGCGTTTCAATCAATTTCAAAAGCTCTCTTTTTAATACATTCTCACCACACAAGCAACACTGTCAAATTCAATTTGCGGTACCGACATAAAAAACCACCATTACAAAAGGTCTTGACATCCTTTGTGTTAATTTCCAACATGCACTGATACACCATTAGCCGTAAACCCATCTTCTTGTAACCATTAGCTTCTAAATTTAAAGTGACAGAACTAGAGTTAATGCACGAACTTCACGAAAACTCTCTTTTTGTTAAAGTCGTGGAAATAAGAATTTTGAATTTTTTTTTATATTGACAAGTATTTGTAGCAATTTTTTTCGAACTGACCAATACAGAGTTTGTCTAATACCTTGACTGCAATGATCAACTTTTATTGTATCACAGAAGTAAATACAACAATTTGATTGAATTGTACCCTTCAGTGAATACAGCCAGAGGCCTCGGCAGAAAGACTTTAAACAATTTTGAAGCACATGTTATCATGGATTATGATTGGCTGTATTGAATTGGCTCTGTTGAACGTACATCCAATCAAACTGCTGTATTTATAAGCTTCTGTAATACAAGAAAGGTGGCATTTGCAGTCAAGGTATAAGACACAGTTTCTAATAGCTTGACATTGTGAAGATGTGTATGTACAAGACTCGGTCATGAAAAAATCTTCTTCAAAGATTTCTCCCTTGACAGTTTAAATGAAAAAAAAAATAGGTTAATGTCTGCAAAATTTCCTTCAGTGCACACCGCATGGCATTTCTCAGATCAGGTGCAGAAAATAAGACATTTCCTGTTGAAATGCCTTCCTGGAGATGATTATTTCCATTTCAATTTACTGTAGTACAATGTTGAATAATGAATTCAATCTCCCGGGCAGCAAGCAGAAAATTAAACACCATCTTTCAATTGTATCTCTATTCAAATGGAATTTTTTTTTCTGGAAAACATGGCAGTTTGTAGTGCTTGAACATCAGTCAATGTGTTGTTTATCAGATAAAATTAACTGCATGCATCACTTGCCAAAAGTTTTACTCAATGAGCTTTTTTGCAGCGGAGCAGATATTTTAGAATATCTGTCATGAATTGACATTATGTCATTATTGCATTATCGACACTATATTAATCCATATAGTACTGACGGGTGGCGTACGAAAAGCAGACCATGCTTACTCTTTTCGAAACACCTGATGGTACTTCTCTTTGGTATTATACTACTAGTTTTTACTCTTGATTTTGCCATACTTTGGACGAGATTTTGCATGTAAGGATTTTTATTAATGGTTCAGCTTTGCATAGAAACTAAAATTTATGCAAAATTTGGCTTTTTACATGGTGAAAGCTCTCAAAAAGAAACAGATCCAAAAGTGAGTCCGAGCAACTCTCCTAAAGTGCCGATATCTCATCCATTTAAAACTTCTGAGGAAATGGTAAGGACCAGTTTGTTGGGCTATAAATAGGGATAATTTCAACAAGAAAACATCTTGATAGGAATAAAGGTTACCCTTACCTCTTTACATGGTTTATCTGTTATTTTTAATTCTTCATTAATAGGTACAATATGTAATAATAACAACTCACAATGGTCAATTGGTAATAAACTGGAAAAAACAATAAACAAATATATTATAAATAAAATGTATGGAATTTTCTGTCCAATTGATGTACAGTTTCTAGCTCTAGATTATATACCTAGAACAAAAAGTTAAGCACCACCAGATCTTGAACCATTGTTTAGGAAATGAATGCAATTGACAATCCTTCTTGATAACAGAGATATATATATATTAGAACCTACTGTTGAAAACAATATTGAAGTGGATGATCGTACATTATATTGTCTTTATAGCCCCAAATGCAAAGTATCTGTTTTTCATCAGTCTTTGAATGTCCTGTTGAGAAATTTGCTGCCACTCCTGATGAAATGCTGCATCCAACTATGTTACAGTTTGTACAGGAGGGTCTCCTTGACATATGCGATGTCCCAGAATATACTGAATTAAAGTTAATGGCGCTTAACTTTTTGTTCTATGTATATATTGTTAGAGCTAAATCCGGACTGTCCACCATTAAAGGGATTTAAAGATGCTTTCTAAATTTTTTATGTGTATCAGGGACACTGATAGCATCAATTTGCACCATTCTAAATTTCAATTAGATGTCTGTGGTTCCTGCAATTCCACTAAAACTACAGTGTTTGATGATGTCACTAATTGTGAAGGGTCTTAAGTGATAAAGCCCTTTGCAATAAGTGATGTCATCAAACACTTATTGTTCGTGGAATTGCAGAAACCACAGACATCTGACTGGAAATTGGAATGGCGCAAATTGATGCTATCAGTGTCTCCGATACACATAAAAAATTTAGAAAACCTTTTCACAGTTCCTGTAAGGGACACTGTTATATAAATATACTTTAGTAGTAACAATGTCTCTTTGCAGAATAAGAATTTGACATAAGGATCTCCTACAATTAAATAAATATAACTATCGCCTTTTCCGAAAATATAAATATCAATTAAAATCAAAATTTTCAACAACAATATTCGTCTCACTAACCAAAATTTTAATCAACATCCATTTTTCAATACAAGGACAGTTTTCAATAATAAACGTTTTTTTTATACCTTCGTGATAAAAATGCAAAATAGAAGTGTATCTGAGGACCGTAGTTGTCAATAAAATAACGTAATCTTAATTTTAACCTAATATTCAGAACGTGAATCCAGTCTCCGCGGACCTCAACACAAATCAATCCCATCACTTTTCCTAATTCAACTCTAGAAGCAGTATGATTGGTGAATTCTGATAGCATTCGGTTGGAGACTAAATGGGATTTGAATGACCCCCGCATGATATTACAGTCATTTCAAATTATTTTTATCTTTCTGTTTGAAAACTCATATTTGATTTGACGTTTGGCTCCAGTAATAGCATGTATGCACTTTCATTATTACATTTAGAATTCAATAAGATGATCTGTTTTCTTTTCAAACGAGCATTAATACAGCTTTTCATGTCTCTGTTCAATGTCATTTCATTTTTTTATTTTCCATCTGATGTCAATGTTCATGGCCATTTCATGTTCATGTTCGATGTCATATAATTGGATCAATGTCATTTCATGTCTCTGTTCAATGTCATTTCATTTTTTTATTTTTCATTTGATGTCAATGTTCACGACCATTTCATGTTCATGTTCAATGTCAAATAATTGGATCAATGTCATTTCATGTTCATGTTCGATGTCAAATAATCTGTTCCATCTCATTTCGAAAGTATGCTCAATGTCATTTCATGTTTCTGTTCAATGTCATTTCATGTTTCTGTTCAATGTTATATCATGTTTCTGTTCAATGTCATTTTATGTTTCTGTTCAATGTCATACATATCATGATATGTTCAATGTATCATATGTTCTTTTTCAACAAAATTAAATGCCCAGGTTCAATGCCATTCCATGACAATGCTCAATGCCATTTTATGACAATGTTCAATGCCATTCCATGACAATGTTCAATGCCATTTCATGACAATGTTCAATGCCATTCCATGACAATGTTCAATGCCATTCCATGACAATGTTCAATGCCATTTTATGACAATGTTCAATGCCATTCCATGACAATGTTCAATGCCATTCCATGACAATGTTCAATGCCATTCCATGACAATGTTCAATGCCATTCTATGACAATGTTCAATGCTATTCCATGACAATGTTCAATGCCATTCCATGACAATGTTCAATGCCATTCCATGACAATGTTCAATGGCATTTCATGACAATGTTCAATGCCATTCCATGACAATGTTCAATGCCATTTCATGACAATGTTCAATGCCATTTCATGACAATGTTCAATGCCATTTCATGACAATGTTCAATGCCATTCCATGACAATGTTCAATGGCATTTCATGACAATGTTCAATGCCATTTTATGATCTGTTCAATGCCATTTTACATTTAAATTCAATGTTATGTTTTTGGTTAATGTAATTTCGAGGTTATGTTCAATGTCATCTATGTTCAATGTCATTTTTTTATTCAATGTCAATGTCATTTTTTTTTATTCATGTTCAATGTCATTTTTTATTCAATGTCAATGTCATTTCATGTTACATCAATGATATCCACATTTAAGTAATTCAAGGCTTACTATTTCAAAGAACAGGGATTTATTTTCATCACCGCAGCCTTTATATTGAGCCAATACAAAATTTCAATTCTTTTATCTTCCATGTCTAAGGCTATGGTCTAATTTTATTCTAAGATGTTCAATTGACAATACACAAAGCCTGTTGATTAGATTTAGTGGGTATTTGAAACTTAAATTTAGCTGTATCAACTATAGCTTAAAGGGATTGTATCTCGATAACAACTTGAGTTCATGAGAATCCTTTTTACCAGCTGATCCTTGGCCAAACCATTTTTTATAACAAGGATAACAACCTTGGTTCACCTTCATCAACTAATCCTTTAGAGTATATAGCTTAAAGGTATAGTTAAAGTTTTTTTTTAGCTTTCTATGTGTATCAGGAACACTTATAGCAACGATTTGCAGATGTCTGTGGTTCCTGCAATTTCACTAAAACTAAGTGTTTGATGCTATCACTAACAGTAAAATATGGTCTATTACATAAGACCCTTCAAGATTAGTTTTAGTGGAATTGCAGGAATCACAGACGTCTGATTGAAAATTGGAATGGTGCAAATTGATACTATCAGTGCCCCCTATGCACATGGAAAGTTAAGAAAATCTCTTCATAATCCCTTTTAATAGTCCAGGGAGATTGAAAGGGGTAAAGAGACAAAAACAAGTTCTAGTATGAACCACGAGAGCCATTCCACTGATCATTATAGTAATAAATAGTCCAATAATTAACCCAGCCAGACAATGAGCTCCATAAAAATATATTTTTATTTTCTTTCAATGATCAGAAGACAACATGTTGGTAGATAGAAAGGAAAGAAAAAAAGAGGATCCTTTCTACCAGCTAATCCTTGGCCAAACCATTGTTTTCACAAGGATAACAACTTGGTTTATAGGGATCCTATCTACCAGGACGACAACGAAGGTTCACAAAGGATCCTCTCTACCAGCTGGTCCTTGGTCATGCCTTATGGCATTGATCATTCCCTGATTATCCATACCCATTTACAGCTGGGTCAACTGGAATAATAAGAAGGTCACCATACTTGCTGCTTGCTGACCAAATTAAGAACCTATGACCATCATTTGTCATGAAGCAAATCATGACTGTATCACTTCAACAAAAATTTACTGCAATTGCCTTTGAACTGATCATCAAATGCAAAAAAAAAATTCAGCATTCAGATATCGATGACTAACCTCCATTTTAAGTAAATAATCACTTATAAGCCAGTCAAAGACAACTTGTTTTCCTTAAACTAAAACTGACCTTTCAATTTGGAGACATTTTTTGGGTGAGAAACGCAAGATTGTCGTCAATGTCACAGAAAAATCCATTTAATTTTCATTTGTGGAGGATATAAAGGCAAGGAAGAGAGAGATCTAGAAATTTAAACTGAAATCAATTTCACACTAGGCTAGCTATAGCAAGAATGCTTTTCAGTATTCTTTTCATACTTTGGATATATTCTTATCTTCAGATATAATTGAAAGGGAAATAAGATTTTTATGTGGTTTAAAGATGGGTTTCCTTATTTTTTAGTGTCATTTTAAGCAAACTGTTTTATTAATTGGTGATTCTGATGAATTATCATGTATTCTTAATCATATCATTATGTTCTTATTGCATATAATTAGGAGTTTTAACCAATTGTAAATGTCCATGTATAAACAAAAAAAGACTTTTTGACCTTTCTTAATCGGTCACTCATTGGAATTCTGCTGGCAATTCTCTTCTAATTTAGTACGTTCTAAAAAATAGTACTTATGTCGCTGTCTTGGCAAAATTTCCCTCATTGCATATTTATTGAGTTTTGCTGTTCTCGTAAGCCTAAAAAGATGCAAAAAAATAGGTTAAAATGAAATCCGGTGGAGACGCTGTGGAAGTGTTTTGTCTAGAGTAAGATATTAACAAACCTAATATCTACAAGTAATAAACTTCTAAATACTATCAATCTTTCTTAACAATTCAACTTTCATTTTCTATTTTCACCAACATTGTATGGAAGGAAACCATATTTAGAATTTTACGATCTACCAATACTTTATTCTTGTGATTAAATACCTCCTCATACAATCAATTACAGGAATAAATTGAAAAGGCAGAAGTATACGTTCTTTCAGTTCCTTATTAGTGGCAATTTGATTGAAACAAAATTTGGAAATAAAAATGAAATTGGATTTCAGGGGTTGATGCTCCCAAAGACACAGGCCCAGGATAGAGCAAATATTTCATTAAGAAAATGGAATAAACAGTTTAGTACCAAAGACATTTAAATGAAAATTGGAATAATGAAAATCAATGCCAACAGTGTCACACAGTTAGAACATCTTTCACGATCCCTTTAAAGGCCAACTTTAGTCTGACATATTTTAGCTACAGTCAGACATGACTGGCAATAAACCAACTGTCCAAACAATAGTATATCCAATTGCAGAAGCTA